AAGAAAATTTGACGAGACTTTCAATGGACCTTAATGGAAACGTCGGAAATGTCGTTTCCTTGCGAAAAGGGGCGGGCTGTTTGAATTTCCAATGTCGCTAACGTGCCTCCTGTGAAATGGCATAGCTTTGTTATATGCGGTTTTCTCAATAGAAATCTTATTTCTATGCATTGATTTTCCGAGGCTTTTCGCTTGGAAAGTAAGTAAGTTTCTCACACAAAGTTAACTTTCGTGAATATTGCCGAGAGGCAATGCTTAGCCGCAGCTGAGCACAGCTGAATGGCCTGTTCTTCATCCGGCATCAAGCATTTATTCCTCCATATTCCGTAAGCTTTTACGATTTCCACGATCCTCAGGCTGTAAATTGCTACATTATTGCGCAATGAATTCCTTAACTATCTTACACCACACTGCGTCTGTGCAACATTGCTAACAGTCGTTAATCATCTGAAACATTAGGTAGTTAACCCAGTTTAACATATGCGTAACAACATAGCATCTTGCTGCTTTCTTGACGTACTCAAAGGGGTGTAAAGGGGACAATGGAAGGAAAGAAGGTTAGGTGAATGATGAGTTTCTTAATTCAATCAGTTTTGATTTGATACGTTATGTCATTTTGCTTCTTTTCTCAAAAATCATGGCCATTTCATTCAAATTCTTGCTTAGTCATTTCACCTATCCCACCGTTTACTTCTTAGTCATCGGCCAAATGTTCTAAAGAGACGACAACAATCAGTGCAAAACTGACAACAAAAAATGAAAAAATAGTCTTTACCTAGAGCTTATGAATCACTCTGAATCTGATCGCAGTATTCTTGTCACATGTACCGAAAGAACACCCACCTACGCCAATCATATGTTGCTCATTCAATGACCAAAATCACTGCTGTTGGAAATCTCTCTCTTGCGAAATACCTGTGCTGTCATTGTAATGAGTACTTACATTGACTCCATTTATATTTCATGTATCATAGTCATCTGTCGTTCCGTTAAACATGTGTACAAATCGTCATGTGCTTCGACTTAGTGTAAGATTAAGGCATATTTCATGAGAAAATCTAACTAGAAAATCCGGGGAATTCTGTTTTAAAGAGCTTACTCCGGCTCAATCCAGACTCTTCTCGCTTTGCGTTCGGATTGTTCTTCTATATGAAAAACGTACCTAGTTTTTGGTTTTAAATATTAATGAAACTTGAAGTTTTGTTCATGGAAGTACCAGATTTCCACGGCTCCTTCATCTTTGCCGTAGTCTTCTAATTCATGCACTTCCATGACGACGTTTCGCTTCCAGAGAATGTTTTTCGAGAATAGAAGGTTGGAAGCA